AACGAGATAGAAGAATACTTCGCTGTACTGGGTTATTTCGTGGGTATACTTACAAACTACCATACCCGGGATAAAGGAAGCAGGTTAAGCAACAGGCTGACGAAACAGGTAAACGAGGTAAACAAAGAAAACATAAAGAAAAAAAATATAAAAATGTTACAACCAACAGAAATGAACAGATCAATCAAGTAAGACACAATAACCCATGAAATAAAAGAAAAACAGTCAAACTGGTTTGTCCATGTACAAAAAATGCCGAGATAAGACTTACATCATAGAATGGACAATAACGGTAAAAGAAATAAAGGCGCGGAAGATCCTGTCGACATTTGAGAATCCGAACAGACAAATATTTGAAAGAAGGAGGCATAGACGAGGTGACTGGAATGATAGAAATAGCGAATATGAAACTGGAAGATGCAGTACGTTTTGAACTCATATTATGTATATAAAATCTTTGGACGTTGGTTATAAAAACTTTATCACCTACTGTTTATATCGGATCAACTTTTAAAATGCAGTTCGCAAGATATGAAAATGGTATACGCAACAACAAACTGAACAATCTACAATTCTTTTCCCAGGCGCTTATCAATTTTTATAATACCCCATGTTGCATGTGTTAAATATTTAACTCTCTTGAAGTAAATATTCAGCACACATATTTTCAGAAATTAGCTACAATAAACTAATCGAATATTTTGCAGTAACGTGAGATTTGTGACTCTTGTCAGAGAACTTAGTAAGAAGTAAAAATATCTATATTATCATTAACACTTTGCCTGTTAGGTGTCTTTTACTAGCTAGTTACATATAAAAAGGTAAAATGAAAAAACAAAATGAAATATTTATAATTCGGTTATTAATTTTGTCAATCAAAAAAGAGAACTATCAAAGTTAGTACAATCACAGTCGATGCAATATAATTTGTGCAGATCAATTTTTGGACCAATATTTATTTGATCTGCAACTAGAAAATAAAATATACATACTAAGATAAGTGTTAAATATTTTATGATCTAAAAACAAAATGAAGAAAGAGAATATAAAAGAACTTGGCAGCCAAATGTTCTATACTTAAAGAAATCGAATGGGAAATGATCAAATTTGTATTAAATATAGTATAGTCTATATCCGCCTTCTATCAATCAAAACTTTGTGAACTTTTCCCTACTTCAGATAATATAGATATCTTTATTTTAATCTTCATTGTCCCATTAATTTCTGTACAAATTTGTCCCAAAAAATTTTTTCGTAAATATAATTACGTAGCAGCTTGATGGTACAATTCATATCTCTTGTTGTACATTTATAAGCGATATTTGTTTTCTTTGTAATAATAATGAAATAACTATAAAATAAAAGTTTTTTGAGTGGAACTAATATTGAATATTGCGAAAATACATAGACACAAACCACCAATGACTTAAAGAAAAAATTATATCAGTCCCAAAAATGGGATAACAAAAAATTAAACAGTAGGAGAGTAAGATTTAGTTAATAAACCATTCAAAATAATATAAAAACATCAGTAAAAGGCACTCAAAGAGAAATAAAAATAAACAGAAACTTAAATAAAAAAGACCACATATTTTCATTTTTCTGTCTAACACGCAGAATTTTTAGTTCTATAATAAAAAGCGATATTGTTTAGTAAAACTGTCACAAACGTCTAATTTTACTTCTTTGAAATTAAACTGTCATTTAACCGTGCCAATGAAAACTTAAGTGTTAAATGTACATGATGCTCTTGTACGTGAACATTTTACAAGTATAGTTTCTAAGTGTTCAGATGTTAGCGGAGTTACAGAAGCAACTGTTTATCGACTTTTAAAGCAATGAAAGAGTGTAGGTATTCTTCCACGAAGTGGAAGATACTGTGAAACAATGGATTCGAAAAAAAGTTCATTTATTTTATTTACAAAATATTCCTAGTTAAGATAAAATTTTAGAAGGTATTAATTACAAATTAATGAATACTGAAAAAAGATCAAGTACCAACCAAGAAACCCACCTAATGTTTATAGACCTTCAGAAGGCCTATGATATTGTATCCGCTAAAAAGCTATGGAAAGTTTTGCAGGACACAAACATTAACCACACAGTAATTAACGCCCTTAAACAGCTTTATGAAGGATTAACGTCGGGAATAAAAATTGGAAATAGACTTGCAAAACTATTTCCTGTAAACAAGGGACTCCGGCAGGGGTGTTGCATATCCCCCACATTGTTTAAAATCTACGTGGCGAAAGCACTGTATCAGTGGAAGAGAAAGTGCAGAGGAATGGGCATTGACCTGGGAGAAACTTGCCTAGATACCCTACAGTTTGCAGACGATCAAGTCCTTATAGCCCACGATAAAGAAGACCTGACATATATGGCCAGAAAACTACAGGAAGAATACAAAAAGTGGGGTTTAGAGCTCAATACACAAAAAACAAAATATCTCCCAATAGGCGCAGAACTATTCAACATTCAGATGGACACAACCGAAATTGCATTCTGCACTGAATATACCTACCTAGGAATTGATTTCGACACCACAGGCACAGACAATAGGGAAATTAGAAAACGAATAACCCAGGCCCGTAGAACAATTGGATGCCTTAACGGAGTTCTTTGGAGCTCCGAATTTGGTAAAAGACTAAAATACAATATATATGAATCTCTTATAAAAACCAGCTTAACCTATGGTACAGAGACATGGAGACTAACAGAAAGCAATAAAAGAAAACTCGAAGCAACAGAAATTGATGTATTTAGACGATCACTTCGAATATCTAGGGTAGACAGAATTAGAAACGATGAAATAAGGAATCGGATGGAGGTAGATGGATCACTGGCAACAGACATAGAAAGTAAACAACTTATATAGTATGGCCATGTTCAAAGAATGCCAGAAACAAGACTACCAAAAATCGCCATGAAATGGATACCACCAAATCGTAAGAAACGAGGAAGACCAAAAAGAACATGGAAGGAGGGAATAACAAAGGCAATGAGCTCCCGAGACTTGACCGAAGAACAATGGAATGATAGAAATTTGTGGAAATTAGGTATTGGACAACGACGCAAGACGTTTTGAAACCGATATATATTTAATATTCAATATTTAAGGGAAATTCGAAAATTGAGGAGAGAAGGCAAAAATATTTTTTATTTAGAATGAAATTCCTGATATTTTTGAGTAGATTTATTACAAACCAATTCTGTAATAGTCATGGGCAACGCCAGTTACCACTCAAGATTTAAGGAATCATTACTTAACACTAAATGGATAAACAAGAACTCTTGGGTGGGCTAATAACCAAAGAAATTGTAGTGCCAGCAGAAGGTTTACTCAAAAAAAGAGTTATTGCAGCTATGCAAACAATATCCACCAAGATGAAATAGCAAAAGAACATGGAGTTAAAGTGTTGTGATTACCACATTATTACTGTGAATTTAACCCCATAGAACTAATCTGGGCTTAAATATGAATATATGTCGCGAGAAATAGCTTAACAGCTAAACTATTATCTGAGTCCATAACAATAATTTCATCTGACAAATGGCAAAAAACTATCAGACGTGTCATAACAAAGGAAGAAACATTCTGGAAACTCGATATGTTACTAGAGGAAACAATAGAACCAATTATTATTTCTGTGGGGAATAAAGAAACTAATGATGTCTCCTTCTCTAAATAAGATACCTTATGTATTTAGATATGTAGGTAATTATTTGTATTAACGTGGGTACATAATATTGACATTTTAGTTTTTTTTTTGTATTATCTAAGTAGTTATCTGTTCTCCGCCACTGAAGCGTTAATAATTGCTTAATCCCTTAGGGTTTGCTCATTTTCATTTTATGATGTATGGTAGTTGAGGTCTATCTGGGAATGGTCATATATTAAAGTCGAGTGAAAATTCAGACAAAAAGGTAATATCAATTATTACGTTTTTTCTGAATTGACCGACTTTGTATTTAGACCTTTGCTGTAAAAGTTTTTTAATTACTATGGTATACAGCCAACTCCTGGGGACGATCCCATTCTATTTTAAGCATAAAGTAGAATTACAAAAGCAACCTTAAAGTCTATTCCACTAAAACTCCTTGTGAAGTCAAAGAATATTCCCAGAAAAATGTGCAAAATGTAAAAAAAACAAAAATAACAGAACAACTATGCATAGAACAAAAAAAAATAATAAAGAAATTGAAATCCACCAGGAAAATAATTCCTGCAGCTGGCTGTATACCACGTATCACAAAAAAAGGGGCTAATCTGTAATTTGGTATATTTAAAAACCCTTAAAAGGGCTACATCAAAAAACACGAACGTTTTCGGAATGACAATTCCATCATCAGGTTTAAAAAAACACTAGATTGACATGCCTGAGCCACAAAAATATTTGGGTAAAAACCCTTTAAAATAAATTTAGTTATAAAATGTTGTACATAATGTTGTTTTAAATATGTGATGTTTGATATTAAGTTAGAGTTGGCTTCAGGTAACATACACCCATGGTTTGAATGAGTTCCAGTGTCCGGAGAGTAAACCTCTTCAGACGGACTACAGCGGTTACCAGCTTTTATAACTACATTTATTTTAAAGGGTTTTTACCCAAATATTTTGGTGGCTCAGGCATTGAGGCATGTCAACCTAGTGTTTTTTTAAACCTGATGATGGAATTGTCACTCCGAAAACGTTCGTGTTTTTTATGTAGCCCTTTTAAGGGTCTTTAAATATACAAATTACAAAGATTAACCTCTTTTTTTTTTAATAAATAAAATGATTAAGGAAGTGTAGTCAAATATAATTTTGTATTTAGAATTTTTTACAATGTAGTAATTGTATTTTATAATGTAAGTCGTTAATCTAAGCCTTCAATATCGGTTGAATTATTTTAATCAATTAACAAACAACAGCGGAAATAGCAAAACATGTTCCAAAAAGAGATATAAAATCACTCTTTCTTCCTTACATTTCAGTTTAATATTAATAAGGAACTTTTTGGGCCAACTGTACTGATTTATGTTTTAAATCACAGATTTTCAAGTTTATTTGAAGAAATCCGTCTCCCTACTTTCCCCCGTAAAAAACCTAACAAAAATTGCACACAAATTTCTCGAAAACCTTATATACGTTTCGTGCTAACCACCCATAATCATCAGTCTTCGTTATTTACATATTTACATCTAGTATTCCATACCCTCAGTACTTCTGCCCCACACAATCCGATTGATAGTATGCGGCAGTGGTGCGATAGTTTGGCGGGCTAGGAGTAACGCCGGGATGCCTGAATCCCGCCAGTTGGCAGGAGGGGGCGGCACTGTTGTCGAAAATGATGTCTCGGTAGCTGGTGGCCGACTCCGGGGAGGTTTCAGGGCTGTACCAAGGGCTGTAACGAGGGGCGGCTTCGTCCGCTATACTGTACTGGTGTTGTGGAGTAGCCGACGGACAGTAGGAGTACATTCCTGAAACAAGTAATTCATTTTAATGCAAAATATTGATCTATACATCGTCAGTTTCCTTTTTATTCTACACGACTTTTCGATATAGATAGCAAGACAAAAATAGAACATATTAATGAAAACCAAAATCTATGGCTTATCACAAACATTTCATCATACAAAAACTTCATATTCAAATTAATGATACTATAATTTGCTAAAAAAAAAAGATTTTTCAAATTTCTTCTTGGATTCAATTTTAGATTTTTTTAATTGTATTGCTATAATATACGTGTCCTCATTATGCTGACATTAAGAGCCATTTTGTATTTTTAGTCTGGTTTTGACGAATATAAAAGTTTGACGTTTTGCTAAATATCTGCATTAAAGTTCTTCTTTATATTTATTTCTACAAGCAATTTTGTCTGTTTATTGGCGCTGTCCTATTGAAGGTTATGACTATTTCCTTTTACAATCTGCAAATACTTCTACCGCTTGCTAATTTATCTCTTGCCATTTTGACAGATCTAGTTTCTATTCTCCTTTTACGTACATTATCCCATACATTCACTAGTTTATACCATGTACGTTACATTATCTTCTGCCTTCATGCTCCTTTTCATCTGATCGTATTTCTTGTAATTATTTTCAGTATCCTCATATCTGCCGCGTCCAATAGCTTTTGTTTTCTGGCTGTGTCGGATTTAATGTGTTGGTTTCATCATTCACTGTTAAGGCATTACGTCAATCTGTATGCTTTATGTACTTTGTGTTTCACTTTTTTCAACAGCTCTCTTGCGTCTTACTCTGCCGAATGTTTTCTTCAAGATAATCAGACATTAGAACACTGATCTATTATAATCTAATGCTTGCTCAACTACTAAGTTTTAAGATTCAGTGTAGTATCTTTAAACAAATTGATACTTCTGCAGGTTTCTGACAATTTTTATAGTCTTTTACTTCTTCTTCTTACTTCTATCGGGAGAACCTTAGTTCTCACCATCGAGCAAAAAGACAGAAGAGAGAATGTAAAGGTAGTGGGGGCAAAAATATTGTTAGATGGGAAGTGCTATTTTGAGAGGCCACATTAAACAAGGAAAGAGAGTCACTTTCTTTGTTTAAGAAATCAAATTTAGTTGTGTTATGTTATTGTTTGTCCCAACTGCCATATGAAAGCTTATTTATATTGAAGTTTTTTAACATTTGTGTCACATTTTAGACTATTATCGTTATTGTTTAATTAAAACTTTCTCGTCTAAGACTCATTCTGAAAAATATTTTATAGCTACTTTAAATTTGGCGCCTTTTCATTCCCGGATATGTCCTCCATATTAAGAGGCTACTTTTATGAATTTTGGTCTCTCAGTTTATTTCAATGAACTCTCTTTTAGATTTATTGTTCTCACGATGGAGAATTGTAGTGTTGGTATAGTCCATGAGATGACCAGTGGAATGGACATGTTTGGCTAATGCACAGCGGTCAGGGTGAAGTCGAGAATCACTTTTGTGTAGTGTAATACGTGATTTCAATAATTGAGATGTTTGGTCGATGTAGGAATTGCTGCAAGAGAGGCTTGGAATGTTGTAGACAATGTTACTAAGCCTATCTATGGGAGTCTTATCTTTTATCTTCGAATAAAGATTATTAATTGTTAGGGCTGATCTACGAGCCACATTAACTAACGATTCGATTCCCTCTTTTGTCTTTTTACTCGATGGTTCTCACGCAGAATCCTAACCTAACCTTATATTAACCTCTTATGTCCTCCTTAGTCCTATATGGCAGACAACCATAGATACACTAACAAAACATCCCTTTAAACCCTTTATATAAATTATACAAAATATTGCCATTATACAAAACATTAATACAAAACGACATATCGTATATTAAAGCTTAAAATCATTGCACATAATCCTTCAAGGGAGAAGTTTTCTTATTTCTTCTTTGGGTCTGACTGAAATAGGAATGTTCGCAATATTTTGTGACAATGGGGAGGTAGACACAAATTGGGATTCAGATGACCCTGGTAATGACTTAGCACCCTCAGTTTCGGACATAGTCTTTAGATGAGCATTCAATTTAATTTCACTTTCTTGATCTTGTTCTAACATGGTCTGGTTGGACACATTAGATTTTGTATGTTGATTTGATGTTTGTATACTACTTTTCTGCTTGTGTACAAAATTTCTACAATTACTATGAGTAGGGACTTAGGGACTTAGCTTACATCAATATGGAGAAAATCTGATTGAATTTTACATAATATGAAGCTGGTATTAAATGTCACCTATTACGGCTCTAAACCTGACCTGAATTTGATTCTATTAAATAAGATCTAGGTTGATCTAAAAGAGTCACAACTTGAGCATAAATTCTAAGATTAGTTTCCCGGACAAATTCCCCAATGGTTAGATCCAGCAATGTTAGATAAATATAGTCTTCTGCAGGTTATTATGCAGGGTAGGGTTGATGGCAAAAAGGGAATAGGTAAAAAGAGGAAGTCATGGCTGCGAAATATTCGAGACTGGACAAACATGACTGTAGATCAATTACTCCACGTTGCAAAAGACAGAGAAACTTTTAAAAATGTGGTCTCTAACCTCCATTAATGGGGACTGCATAGGAAGAACTATTTCACATATGCCATATCTAGAAAAAAATTCTTTCACCCGCTTAACTATAACTTGTTCTGCCATTTTTGGAAGTTTAATTTATTCAAAAAATCTTGATTAAAAGTCTAAGATTATTAAGTACCATGTATCATGATATTTTCTCTGTTAACAGAGAAAATCAAACAGCCGAAATATCGAGACGAGTAAGAATGGGATGGGCAGCGTTCGGCAAACTTTCTTACGTTCTGAAAAATCAAACAATCCCTCTATACCTACGAAGCAAGGTATATAACTACTGTATAATACCGGTGCTCACCTATGGAGCACAGACATGGACATTTACACAGGCCAATTTGGTTAGGATAAGGAAGGCACAAAGAGCGATGGAGAGACAAATGTTGGGTGTATCACTTAGAGATAGAAAACGTAACCAGTGGATCAGAACCAGAACAAAGACAGTAGACGCGATAGGACAAGCAGCAAAACTGAAATGGAAATGGGCTGGACACAATGAACGTCTCCAAGACGGACGATGGAACAATGCCATCGGAAAGTGGCGCCCATACAATGCAGAGATCAAGAGGCAGACCACAGATGAGGTGGAAAGATGACATCAGGAAACAAGGAGGTCCCACATGGAAGAGAACAGCTCAGGATAGGGAAAGATGGAGAGAACTGGGGGAGACCTATATCCAACAATGGAAGGATAGAGAATAGGTTCAAAAAAAAATCATGACATTTATATACGCCCAGAGCTGCTTTCTACCATGGACTATCAGAAAATTTATCAGAATAACGATTTTTAAGGTGATAAATACTGTAACGCCGGATTAGCTAGAGGGAATACTGAAAAGTGGATATCAGACAATTGGAAAAAGTACTTGAATGTTTATAAGTAATATCTGAGGAATATATCTTTGACTATAAAAAAATGGACAGTGAAAAAATTAAATTTTTTAAAAATAAAAGGTCAACTTTCTTTAACAAATCTGGTAAATTTTTTTCTTCAAGAGCTTTAACCCCAGTTCCTTTTCAATACTTCCTTTCGTCAGAGACAAAAATGCCACTGAATCTATAAAACTCATACGAACAAACTGAATTTTGCCGAGAATGTCAATTTTAGGACGCAAAAAAAAATGCAAAAAAGTTTACCAAAAAAGAAAATCGAAAAAAATGTAACTAAGATTATTTTGAACAAAAATGTTTTATGTAGAGCGCCTCGTTCTTCTAGAAACAACGCTTCAAGCGATAGGCAATTTTTAATGTCAGTTACGCTTGCGAAATCAATGTTCAATAAAATTTGTATCACCTCGACGGTAAAAATAAGATATCTTTTGATAAGGATTTTAAAGGTAAGTCAATTTAACATAGGAATGCCGCTCTATATTATTGTTATGCTTTCTCTGCTAAATTTATGAGCTGATTTATTCGTTCTTGCAAAATTTAAGTTGAAAGTTTCTGGGTAGTCTTTAGCAAATGTAGATTTCTAGTTGTTTCTTATCTAGTCTAAGAAACGAAGTTTAAAATAGGATAAAACCTCGCAAATTTTTCGGATAAGACCGATTTGCTTAAAAATTTAGGATGAAGTTCAACTTACCCTCTACTTCAAAATCTATATTGTGCCGACAGATGCTTTTTATTTTTAAAGGGTGAAAACTATCCCCAATTGCTCAAATTTATGGAAAATTATTCAAATTTGCAAAAATTCAGTTTTTTCGTATGATTTTCGGGGGTCAAATCTCTGACGACTGGACTAGTATATGAACTTGCCATAAGAGCAGCTATAATGCTCATAACTGATGATGGCAGTTAAATTAGATGGATAAGTGGAGTGGCAAAAAAGAATAAAATGAAGAATTGATATTATTAGGAAAGCCTTGGGGTGTCTCCAATTATTTATGACAAAAGTAAAGGGCATAAGTTAAGATAGTTTGGGCTTGATATAGGCAAAGACAATGATGAACTCTCCGTTGTTATCAGGTGTTTTGGTTTCGTGATATCTTTAGCTGTATTTATCTATATTTTAATAAATAGTTTTTTTATAAAATAATTGATAATTAGCTCTTTTTATGTTGTTTGATTGTATATTCTATTGTATTGCTTTGATTTTTTACTTATTTTGATGTTATCTCTTTGGTTTTCTGTTCTTACCGTGCTATAATCGTTGTCAGTGTTAGATTAATTGGTTACTGTTACTGATTTTTATAATAAACTGTTCTGAAGGAAGAGTTATTTCATTTCTTTTGTTTTTAGTTGTTCTATTATTTCTAATTTGAACTTCACATGAAAATAAAGACCTCAAAATCACTGATAACTACAGTAAAATTGTTTTTTCTTCTAGTGTGTTATTAGTAGTTTCTTCATAAAACATTTTCATACTTTTTTCGTATCACTTGTGGTGTGATCTT